AAGAAATGGAAGAGAAAAATTGTCTTTTCTAGTCACCAAATTGAGCTTTCGATAGTCTAATGCACATTCGCCATCTTGTGACGACTCGAGTTAGTACTAGTTCATTGACATCATTTTTGACCACTGAGACCCCTGACTTTTTGGGCACAACTTGGGTCGGACTAACCCATTTGCTATCGGAGATGGGAAAGATTATCTTTGCATCTAAGAGCTTGAGCACCTCAGTTCTCACCACTTCCTTCATGTGAGAGTTCAGTCGTCGCTGAATTTGACGAGAGAGTTTTGAATCATCTTTAAGGTATATAGCATGATTGCAAATTAACGGGGTTTATACCTTTTAAGTCAGTGATGGTCTACCTAATGGTGCTTTTATGATTTTTAAGAACTTCAATCAGTTTAGACTCTTGCAAGTCTGTGAGCTTAGATGAAATTATTATTGGGTATGATTTGTCCTTTCCTAAGAATNTAAGAACTTCAATCAGTTTAGACTCTTGCAAGTCTGTGAGCTTAGATGAAATTATTATTGGGTATGATTTGTCCTTTCCTAAGAATGCATATTTGAGATCAGATGAGAGAGGTTTCAATTCAGGCTTTGGTGGCCTAACACTTGATGGGAGTGGTTTTGTGCCACTTGTGAAAGTTTCTCGAATTTGGGTGCCCATGTCTCAACAGCATAAGTAGGGCAACTTTGTGGATTTGGATCATCATCTGTTGACTCTGTTGTGCTAGGTTCCAACAAATATGATTCAGCAAAGGTTTCATAAAAGGTATCATTCAAATGTTTGTGAACCAACGACTCAATGAAATTTATTTCTCTCACTTCCTTATCCTCTCCAGGATGTTTGACAACATTGAAAATATTCAGCTCAAGAGTCATATTCCCAAAAGTCAATTTCATGACTGCATTCATGCAATTGATTAATGCATTGGAGGTTGCTAGGAAGGGTCGACCAAGAACAACGGAAATTTGGTTCTCCGAATGTATTACTGGCTGAGTATCTAGAACAATGAAGTCAACATAGAAGACAAAGTTGTCCACTTGGACAAGTACATCTTCAACAATGCCTCTTGGGATTTTAACAGACCTGTCTGCCAACTGGAGTGTAACACTGGTGGGTTTGAGTTCACCTAGACCCAACTGTTGGTAAACAGAGAATGAGAGCAAATTGACACTTGCCCCAATATCGAGCAGAGCTTGTTCTATTTATGAAGTTTCTAATAACACACGACACGGTTGGACACCCAGGGTACTTGTATTTTGGAGGGGTTTTGTGTTGAAGGAAGACATTGGCTTGTTCTGTCAAGAAGACTCTTTTTTGAATACTTTGGCTTCTCTTGATTGTGCACAAGTTTTTCAGAAACTTGGTATAAGAGGGGATTTGTTTGATCGCATCTAGAAGTGGAATATTGATTTTCACCTGTTTAAAGAGCTCATAGATTTCTGGCTGGTGATTCAACTTTTGTACCATTTTGAGTCTTTGGGGAAAAGGATCAGGAATAAGACAAGAAGGATCTTTTTTCTTTGATGGTTCTGACTTTTTTCCAATCAGAGGATCAGGCTCAACTGGTTTAGTGACTGGGATTGACTTAGGCCTTGGCTGTGGAATTAACATGTCTCTGACTGTTTTGTCAATCACCTTGTCACTTCTCAGTTTAGTGATAGCTTGAGCTTGGGCTTGTGGGGTTTCCATGATTGAAGGATTTTTCATATGAAATTGGCCTTGTGGTTGTTTTGGTTGGGCTGGAAACTTGCCTTTCTTGTGAGTGCTCATGGATTGAGTCAATTTTTGGATGTGACTTTTGATAGCTTCGAAAGACTGGGTGGTCTGTGCTTTTAATTTAGTAAAAGCCTGCGTGGAATGAGTGTTGTAGTTCATTTGTATTTGCATGAACTGGTTCTGNCATTGAAAATATTCAGCTCAAGAGTCATATTCCCAAAAGTCAATTTCATGACTGCATTCATGCAATTGATTAATGCATTGGAGGTTGCTAGGAAGGGTCGACCAAGAACAACGGAAATTTGGTTCTCCGAATGTATTACTGGCTGAGTATCTAGAACAATGAAGTCAACAGAGAAGACAAAGTTGTCCACTTGGACAAGTACATCTTCAACAATGCCTCTTGGGATTTTAACAGACCTGTCTGCCAACTGGAGTGTAACACTGGTGGGTTTGAGTTCACCTAGACCCAACTGTTGGTAAACAGAGAATGGGAGCAAATTGACACTTGCCCCAATATCGAGCAGAGCTTGTTCTATTTATGAAGTTTCTAATAACACACGACACGGTTGGACACCCAGGGTACTTGTATTTTGGAGGGGTTTTGTGTTGAAGGAAGACATTGGCTTGTTCTGTCAAGAAGACTCTTTTTTGAATACTTTGGCTTCTCTTGATTGTGCACAAGTTTTTCAGAAACTTGGTATAAGAGGGGATTTGTTTGATCGCATCTAGAAGTGGAATATTGATTTTCACCTGTTTAAAGAGCTCATAGATTTCTGGCTGGTGATTCAACTTTTGTACCATTTTGAGTCTTTGGGGAAAAGGATCAGGAATAAGACAAGAAGGATCTTTTTTCTTTGATGGTTCTGACTTTTTTCCAATCAGAGGATCAGGCTCAACTGGTTTAGTGACTGGGATTGACTTAGGCCTTGGCTGTGGAATTAACATGTCTCTGACTGTTTCGTCAATCACCTTGTCACTTCTCAGTTTAGTGATAGCTTGAGCTTGGGCTTGTGGGGTTTCCATGATTGAAGGATTTTTCATATGAAATTGGCCTTGTGGTTGTTTTGGTTGGGCTGGAAACTTGCCTTTCTTGTGAGTGCTCATGGATTGAGTCAATTTTTGGATGTGACTTTTGATAGCTTCGAAAGACTGGGTGGTCTGTGCTTTTAATTTAGTAAAAGCCTGCGTGGAATGAGTGTTGTAGTTCATTTGTATTTGCATGAACTGGTTCTGTGTGTCCTCAAGGCTCTTCTTGTGTGGTGGTTGGTATAGTTAATATGCGGGAGGTCCTTGAGGTGGTGGTTGTGAATTTTGTGGATTCATGTGAGTTGGTTGTGTGTTTCCCCAACAGAAGTTTGGGTAAAATGCAAGCCTAAGTCTAAGACTAATTCTACAACTAGTTAAGAAATGTTGGTCTAGTCTAAGCTTCCAATCCCCCCCTTTGAAGCTCTCACAATGAGAGTATTTATAGGCAAAAAGGAGGGGGTAAGGGAGTGTGGAGGAATAGTACAATGCCTTCAAAGTCATGTGTAAGTCCCAATGTTAAGAGAGAAAATCAACTANTACAACTAGTTAAGAAATGTTGGTCTAGTCTAAGCTTCCAATCCCCCCCTTTGAAGCTCTCACAATGAGAGTATTTATAGGCAAAAAGGAGGGGGTAAGGGGGTGTGGAGGAATAGTACAATGCCTTCAAAGTCATGTGTAAGTCCCAATGTTCAGAGAGAAAATCAACCANTTTCTGGAGTATGTTCAGTTGGTAAATTAAGTAATTTCTCCTGTTGTCCACCAAAGTCTTTGTTCAATAAAGAAAAATTGCATCTGGAATCCATATTACTATTGTGCTTAGAGCCCAATTAAATGTGTAACATCGCACAACGACAGGGACAACTTTCTTGTCTTCTTGTACTTTTGTAGTTTCATTAGGAAACCCCTTTTAGTACTTTCATTGTTTTGGTCAGTGATCATGGCATTTTGAGAGGTGATCAACATCATACTCATAATAATAACAGCCTCCGATGCATTCCCAATCCATACTTTTCATGTCATAGCTAAAATATGTTGTTTTTAACATGATGTACAAGGAGTTTGCCCTAGCATGACATCCTGTTTGTGTTGATATTTACACATTGCTGTTCTACAGCTATGCAGTAACATGGACTGATAAATACAAGGACAAAGATCAAAAAAGAAGTGGGTCGGCAACCAACCAGCTCCCATCAAACAGAGATTACTTGGGGGACTTTTTGGTGTGGCGGCCGCCAATTGGTTTGGAGAAGAACCAGACATTCTGGGTAGTTTTATCATTATGGCTGGGTTTGGTTGGAGCTGCCCTGTTTCTGCAAAAATGATGCACATACGTACATGAAAGTTGTGGGGTGGCATTTATTCTTTTTATGAATATAGTTTGTCATTACTGTATATTTTATTTCATTGTTAAAACATATTGTATGTAAAGAACCATGTATTTGAAAATTCCTCTGTAGTCTCAGAAAAACATAAAAGAAAAACCAAAAATTTTGAATCAATCGTCTATTTAACGCTGATTTCTGTTTTTAAGATAGGATTAGAGATGTGGTCATCTTATTGGGCACAACTCTAACGATGTCGTCTTTATGTGTAAAACGGCATTGTTTTGGGACTAGCATCCGTACAACAGAGGTGCTGGATTCCATTTTGCTTAGCCATTTGTAGCTTGAAAAGTTTATAAAAATGAAAGAACGTGTGGNGGGCACAACTCTAACGATGTCGTCTTTATGTGTAAAACGGCATTGTTTTGGGACTAGCATCCGTGCAACGGGGTGCTGGATTCCATTTTGCTTAGCCATTTGTAGCTTGAAAAGATTATAAAAATGAAAATGAAAATGAAAATGAAAGAACGTGTAGCTTGCCTGCCAGCATGGGTGTGAGTTTGGATTTAGCCATCTTATTCAAGATGTGTGAATTTTACACGACATGATCGATTCACTCTTNATAAGACTGAAGATAGATCTTAGGTATTTCTAATTGAATGCAATAAAACTCAAGAACTGCAAATTTAAATAGTTTCAGCAATCTCAACGAGACGTTTTTAGCAGTCATCTTTTCTCGGTTTTCATGCCAGAAACACAGGATATGAATTCTGGATTCTTAACACCTTTATGCTGCGATAGCTGTATAACCCTTTATTATCTTCCTGCTNTTGTTTGGGTTTGTGAACCCTTAAGATCGAAAATATGCGCAAACAGTAAGGGAGATCGGAGTGGAGNTTGTTTGGGTTTGTGAACCCTTAAGATCGAAAATATGCGCAAACAGTAAGGGAGATAGGAGTGGAGTGCAAATGAGCTAAATTTGATCAAACTTGATTTAAAATTTAATAGAGTTTTGATAAAGNCTTTTAGTACTTTCATTGTTTTGGTCAGTGATCATGGCATTTTGAGAGGTGATCAACATCATACTCATAATAATAACAGCCTCCGATGCATTCCCAATCCATACTTTTCATGTCATAGCTAAAATATGTTGTTTTTAACATGATGTACAAGGAGTTTGCCCTAGCATGACATCCTGTTTGTGTTGATATTTACACATTGCTGTTCTACAGCTATGCAGTAACATGGACTGATAAATACAAGGACAAAGATCAAAAAAGAAGTGGGTCGGCAACCAACCAGCTCCCATCAAACAGAGATTACTTGGGGGACTTTTTGGTGTGGCGGCCGCCAATTGGTTTGGAGAAGAACCAGACATTCTGGGTAGTTTTATCATTATGGCTGGGTTTGGTTGGAGCTGCCCTGTTTCTGCAAAAATGATGCACATACGTACATGAAAGTTGTGGGGTGGCATTTATTCTTTTTATGAATATAGTTTGTCATTACTGTATATTTTATTTCATTGTTAAAACATATTGTATGTAAAGAACCATGTATTTGAAAATTCCTCTGTAGTCTCAGAAAAACATAAAAGAAAAACCAAAAATTTTGAATCAATCGTCTATTTAACGCTGATTTCTGTTTTTAAGATAGGATTAGAGATGTGGTCATCTTATTGGGCACAACTCTAACGATGTCGTCTTTATGTGTAAAACGGCATTGTTTTGGGACTAGCATCCGTGCAACGGGGTGCTGGATTCCATTTTGCTTAGCCATTTGTAGCTTGAAAAGATTATAAAAATGAAAATGAAAATGAAAATGAAAGAACGTGTAGCTTGCCTGCCAGCATGGGTGTGAGTTTGGATTTAGCCATCTTATTCAAGATGTGTGAATTTTACACGACATGATCGATTCACTCTTGTTTGGGTTTGTGAACCCTTAAGATCGAAAATATGCGCAAACAGTAAGGGAGATAGGAGTGGAGTGCAAATGAGCTAAATTTGATCAAACTTGATTTAAAATTTAATAGAGTTTTGATAAAGTTATTTTTGAGAGTCGATCATCTCAACTAAACTTGGAACTCAGGTTTTTTTTTTTTATTTTTGATATAATCGTAGGTGCTACTTAACTAATCAAATCAAGTTAGAACAAGTTTCAAAAATTATAAGAAATGATTTTAAACACCATTTCAATAATAAATTAATTTAAACAACTTTATTTAGATATTGGGCTAGGCCCTTCAGTCCATTTGAAGTAATAGTTCAAGCCCTGGCCTCCCTCCATAACTCGATCCAGCAACAGGGGCCATGTACAATTGTAAATCAGCACAAAAGTCGAGGGTAAAAGGGTAAAGGGAAAACCTATCTCCTCCCTCCCATTAAAACAAACCCAACATTCCCGAACCCTAGGTTTCACTTCACATCACAGCCGCTGAGACCACAGATCACTGGACCATGACGACACGATTCAAGAAGAATCGGAAGAAGCGAGGCCACGTGAGCGCCGGACACGGCCGCATCGGAAAGCACCGGAAACACCCCGGCGGCCGCGGAAACGCCGGAGGTATGCACCACCATCGAATCCTCTTCGACAAGTACCACCCTGGTTACTTCGGCAAGGTGGGCATGAGGTATTTCCACAGGCTCCGTAACAAGTTCCACTGCCCCATTGTCAACGTGGACAAGCTCTGGTCGATGGTACCCCAAGACGTCAAAGACAAGGCGGATCAGAAAAATGTTCCAATGATCGATGTGACTCAGTTCGGGTATTTTAAGTTGCTTGGAAAAGGGGTTTTGCCCAGTGATCAACCGGTGGTGGTGAAGGCCAAGCTTGTGTCCAAGATTGCTGAGAAGAAGATTAAAGAGGCTGGTGGTGCCGTTGTTCTCACCGCTTAGGTTTGCATTCTTTAAGAGAATTTTCTTTTTAAAATTTTGTTTTCGACTCTATTTGGATTTGCTGAAGTAGTAATCTTATCTCATCAGATATGTTTTATAATGTGTTTTCAGCAAATTTTCTTGTTGATTTCATTTGATGGTTTACTTGAGATTTTGGATAGAACCGCAACCAAACACGTTTTCTGTTTCAAATTTTTACCGCAGAAATAAACAAAAACCGATTGTGTTTTCGTTTTTTTTTTTATGAAAACATAAAAACAGAAACCTTACCGAAGGCACCCTTAGATACTGTATTTATATATGGTCTTTGGCTTTTGCTAAATACAATGCTTTGGGTGAAGCTTCAGGTACTTTGTGCTGAACAGTTTCGTTTATGAATGAAATCATTCGAGTATATTCCAATCTTATTAGCCTAGAGTAGAATTAGATGTTGTCTTTTACTACTCCCTCAAGTTTAGCGGGTGGCTACTGTAGCTTCATATTGTGCCATGGCAGCATTTTATCTCAAAAAAAGAGATACGATTAGTGTTCAGAGGTTTGTGTCACCCATTTGCCTGATGCCTACATACTTGGCACTCGGTGTCATCGATTGTCTTCAAAGCCAGAAATATTGATGGTGTCCACTACTATGCTTTATATTTTCTGGTTAACCAGCTTTTTCTCCATTCATTTGCTGTCCTGGTGTTCTGCAGTTAGAAACATCTTTAGGTACTGTTCTATCTTGTGGACTTGAATGCCTGGATTTACAAATGATGTAGGACTTCTGTTAGGATTCATCATCGTGAATGGAGCCATAGCTAGAAACAAGGAAATTTATCTTGATTTTCTCCAATGCATTTTAGCGTTTAGGGATCTGTCAAATGACAGAATTAGCGATCTGGTCTTCTTTTTGAAACTGTTTCTGTAGTTGCCTTTGCTTCTATTCGTTCAGCATCTGCCAGGAAAGGGTGGCTGTTGGTTGTCATTGCAGTTTATCTACCACTCACAAGACCACTGAGAACTTTGACTTAGCTTCTAAAGGTAATCCACCCAAGCCTTCCCTAACCTATACAAGCAGAGCGGAAGGGAGACAAAGTCCTAACTAAGTCCTAACACAAGCTACCATTCCATCTATCATATCAGTCGAGTCCCCCTCTGTAGAAGACTTCTTCCGAATGGCATAATTGTTTCCTCAATCCTCATAGAAAACTGACTCCTCCTACTCCCTTTATCCTTTAAGATTGGACTTTTGAAGTTGGAATCTTCATCGAATGGATTTTATAATTCAGGTGTATGGTGCAAGATTTCTGTTTTGAAGGATGCTTCTCCAAGTACATGGTGGATTACCATAGTCAGCTTTCAGGATTGAGCAAGGGGCTGGGAGAATTTACTGTTTTGATCTATTTCCAGTTTGGCTGGGTCAATCCTGTCATGCCATGTGCTCTTCAAGTAATGAAAATCCATACCTTTGCCTATTTGACCCTCATTAGCCCAAGCAATTTTCTTTAAGCATTCTTCTATGCCTACAAAACAACAAAATATTTAAAGATTACCACGCAAAGCTTGAGAGACTTTAGAACAACCCACGGAATGAGTAATGGATGGATTGAGCAACTAGTTTAGCAAAGATTTTTGGGTAAATTTCACTGATACCCTTTCTGATTTTTAAAATATCACTGCACATCCCTGTATTTTATATAAACGTTTGACAGATTATCCATGCCCTCCAATGTCGGTAGTGACAAGTAAAATAGGTGCGATGTGATGGGTTATTCTCTTATGAGTAATCAAATTAACCCTTGGCTATATAAACCGAGATTAAAGTAGTAGGAAACATCTTTTTAGTAATAATTTAGTTAAATTAAATGCTAATTAGACTAAATAGAATGTTTCCTATAAAAAAAATTGATTAAATAAAATGTTAATTTGGTGTTAATTTTAAAAAATAATATTAATTTGATAAAATTGAATGACTATTTGGTATTTGATATGATGAAATTGAATGGTAATTTGAAATTCAATCAAAAAAATGATGTTAATTTGATAAATTGGATGGTAAATTGATGAAATTAAATGTTACTTTGAGGAAATTGAATATTGTTTTGGTGTTAATTTTATAAAATTGAATATTGCTTTGATTAGATTGAATATTAGTTTGTTGAAATAAAATGACAAGTTTGTAAAATTTAAGATCAATTTTATGTTAATTTGGTAAAATCTTGTATTAATTTAATAAATTTAATTTGATAAAGTTAATAGTTAATTTGGTGTTAATTAGATTAATTTGAATATTAATTTGGTAGTTAAATTGATGAAGTTTAATGTGATTTTAATAAAATGGGTTAAGTGCAAGTTACACCCCGAAAGATAGTTCGAATCTCAATTTAGACCCTCAAAAATCAAAAATCTCAATTTGCACTCTCAAAGATAGAAATTTGTATCAATGTTCACCCTCAAAGATAAAAAATCTCAATTTGTACCCTCAAAGATAGAAATTTGTATCAATGTATATCCCCAAAGATAAAAAATCTCAATTTACACCCTCAAAGATAGAAATTTGTATCAATGTACACCTAAAATTATATTGATAAATTATACCTAGATCCCTTCATACTTGTCACTTAATCATTTGAATTCTTTCACATTTAAAATATTACTTCTACATCTCATGACGTTTGTGCACGTGCAACACGTAACCCATTTTCGTTGATATATGTTAATATAATTGTTAAAAAATATGATTTTATCCTAATAAAAAATTATAATTTTATATTATCCTTTTTTTTGTGGGCCCGATATATTCTAAAGTTTAAAATCAAGTTTATCATTTGAATGTCTAATAGAATGTAAATATTTATATAATATTTTTTATATTCAACGCAATATATTACTCAATGTGCAACCTTTTATTGTATTAGACATTCAAATAGTAAGCTTGATTTTGAATTTTAGAGTATATTTGACCCATAAAATAAAGGGTAATATGAAATTATAATTTTTTTATTAGGATAAAATCTTATTTTTTAACTGTTATATTAACATATGTCAACAAAAAAGGGTTACGTGTTACACATGCACAAACGTTATGAGATATAAGAGTAATATTCTAAATGTGAAAAAGTTCAAATGATTAAGTGACAAGCACGAGGGGATTTAGATGTAATTTATTAATTTAGTTTTTGGTGCACATTGATACAAATTTTTATTTTTGAGGGTGTAAATTGATATTTTTTATTTTTGGGGGTGCACATTGATACAAATTTCTATCTTTGAGGGTACAAATTAAGATTTTTGATTTTTGGGGGTGCACATTGATACAAATTTCTATCTTTGAGGGTGTAAGTTGAGATTTTTGATATTTGGGGGTGCANCATTGATACAAATTTCTATCTTTGAGGGTGTAAATTGAGATTTTTGATATTTGAGGATGTAAATTGAGATTTGAACGGTCTTTTAGGGTGTAATTTGCAATTAACCCTAATAAAATTAAATGTTAATTTGGTGTTGATTTTATGAAATTGAATATTAAGTTGGTATTAATTTAATAAAGTCAAATGTTAATTTGATGAATGTGATTGTTAATTTTGCAAAATTTAATATTAATTTGTCAAAATTTGTTGTTAATTTGGTGCTAATTTGATGAATTGAATATTAATCAAACATAATTAATGGTCAATTTTGATGTTAATTTGATAAAGTTATAGATTAATTTTGTATTAATTTGAGTAAGAGTAATTAAGTAAAATGAGAGTTCTAGTAAAGGTAATTAAGTAAAAATTATATCTCGGTTAATCAATAAAATTTGACAGATGTGTGCAGTAATATTTTAAAAATTAAAGAGGGTGTTAGTGAAATATGAATTAAATCCAAATAATGTCAATGAAATTTACCCAAGATTTTTTTTTATCCCTTTCCTCGCTTTTATGAAAATTTTGGAATTTGTTAATAATATGGGTAAATTTCACATGAACCCCTTGTTAAATGATACAGCACCCCCAAACATTTCAAAAGTCTCTTATCGGTGTTAAAAGTTTGGTAGGCGTTAATAGAGTTGATAAATTGACCACTTTGCCCTCCCTTTACTATATTTATACTAAATTTAAAAAAAACAATTAAATAATGAAGATTTATGCTACTAGAGGTACTCGAATTGATGATGTGTAGGTTTATACTTCACCTTTTGTTCGACTACTAGACCAACACCTACTTATGTTTGTGCAGTATTTCATTTACTTGTACATCAATTGTGAACAAATTGTTCAATATTTGTTTAGGAGAATTACCTTTTGATTTGTTCAATATTTGTTTAGAAGAATTACCTTTTGAACCCTCAATTTTATCTGTCATTTCAAATCATTTTTTAATAATAATTATATTTCTCATATAATATCTTCAACTATAGTTATTAGTTTAATTGACATTTGTTACAATTTAACGAAAAGTTTTCTTACTTTGTCCCTCCCCCCACCAAAACATGATGTCATTTTACTTTTTTTTTTTAGCTCCATGGCCATGGGTGTTCGGGCTAAACTTAGACGCACCTCGATTAATCCTCTCTTCAGTTTAGTTAAAGACAGACCATCTATGCAAAAAGTAAAAAATTCATGATGAATAAATCTCTTATAATTTGATCCTAAGAAGTTGTCAAGATTCGAACTTATGACACTTGAATTTACTGCTTGTTTTTGTTATGTCTAAAACTACTCTCAGAGTTCATTTTATTTTGTCTGATAAATAGACATTTTTTTGTCAAAAAGCGACGGATGTTTGTTTTGTTTAAGCATTCTGAAACCAATTAACGTAGTTGACGAAGTAGTGTTAAAATTACAGTTTCATTAAGAGGCAGGTCACGTCGAAGAAGTCAAGGTGTAATTAATTCTCTTTTTTTGTTAGCAAAATGTTATTTGAATTCTAAAAATTGGTACTATTTGTTGATTTTATTAATTATTGTAATTAATTTAACTGTCTTAGTATTTATTATCTATTCAATAATTATGATTAATTGAGTCAACAAATGGTGTCAATTTTTAGAGTGGCAAATGCATTTTCCTTCAAAAATTGGGTCTTTAATAGATGGATATTCAGTTTTTTTTATCTCACCTTAGGATTTGTAACTATTTGCCTTGGTTGGAGGGTTGTCATCCAACGAACATGTGTCTTGCAGTGGTTTGTTGTAATGGCTAAAATTGACCAAAAAAGCTTAATTAGATCCTTAAGTTTATATTTAATTGAAAGGGAGTTCTATCTAACTTTAGAATTCACAATTAATTTAATAGTTATATTAAATTAAGTCTCTAAATTAGATCATTATAACATTATTCATAAATTATATCTTGAGTTTGAATATTGACAATCGTTTGTGATTAGACAATGAAAAATTTATTCGTCGTGAATACTTTAATCAAGGCATGAATGACCTGATTTTGACAGGATCGGGAAGATGATTAATTGATATCTATGTACGTTAATTTAAACACTCCTGACCGTTGAAAAAAAAACCCAAACAAACTATATATGTCCCCTATTTGTATGATGGAATTGCTCCATTATTGGCCATTAATCATAGTGGGGACAATGGTATAGAGTCAAAAACGGAATTATTTACTAGGATATAATTTTTTTGAAATAATATTATCGATATACGATAATTTTGATCGATAATTGTGATCGATGAAATCAGTAAATGATATCAACTTTTGAGGTCCAAATAATATTTTCCATTTTAACTTGGATGGCTATTGAGCATTAGAATCGTGCAAAAATTAACTCTCTATTTTGTTTGGTAAAAATTAGGCAGCCATCGGATTTAAGATAGCAATTAGATTAACAAGAATATTTGCAACTCTAACTCAGCTTTACGTTCAATCATTGTGGCTTTCGAGTTTAATTCAAGTTATTGGCATTAATTTGAACACGATACATTTAAACAAATAAGCCAAGTTACTACAACGATATGAGTAAGTTGTGCTTTAGCATCGTGACCACGAGCGGGGGCAGCAAGGGCGGAGCTAGACATCTTCTCCGGTGGGGTAATTTAAACTATATTAATATTAAAATTTAAAATAATTACAAAAGTATAATTTTATTAATACAACACCAATTAAAGAGGCAATTCATATACACGAGAGATATATAAAATAAGCTAACAAAAAAAAACTCATTATAGATATATCTATAAGATCTAACAAAAAAATTTTGAATTGCAAAATTGGGATAAATCATATTTTAAATTTTAAGAAAAAATTTCATAACTAATTCAAAAATTAATTTGTTCAATCACAAACTTAATATTCATCATTAAATTTTAACAAACAATCAAAATTAACTTAAACTATAATTATTCTAGTAAATCATAGAAGAGGACTACAAGTCCCAATTTTATTTTAGCATAAAAAATACATACAGGACTACAAATCCTAATTTAAATTCAATACATAAAAAATAAAACATAAGAGATAATTACAAGCCCCAATTTTATATTTTCAATTCAACATATAACAAATAAAATACAACAGAGAGTTACAGGCGCTAATTTCAATTCAACATTTAAAAAATAAACCACAAAAGAGGACTACAAACCCTAATTTTCAAATGAGATAACTAATCTATTCCGTAACATAATAGTTAATCTTTAAATGCCTAAATTTTTGATATCATTTTTCATTGATATTTACAAATGAGACTCATATATTTGTTAAAATAACATAACTATCTTTAAATCTTTTAAAAAAAATTCAGTGGGGGCAAATATTTAATAAATTCTAAATTTTTTAAAATTATACTTAATCCCAAAAAAATTTAAAAATTCCAGTGGGGGCAGTTGTCCCCACTGTGGATCCGCCACTGGGTGGCAGAGTCAGGATTCTCTCTTAGACGGGACAAAAATGACTAAATTAAATTCACTAATTGATACAAAAAATCTCAAGTTCAAGCATTGATAAAGTTTATTTAGAATCAAAACTAAATTACTATGTGAAACTATAACATGAGATTTCTTTTAAAATATGATCAACAAATAACTTTTAAATGTCAAAAATAGGCTATAAGTGATTAATTTTAAGCTAAATTTTACAGTAATTTCTTTTTAGTGTAAATAATAACAAATTCCAAGATAAAATTATTTTTTCTTTTATTTTGAAGCCTAATCGAGACCGTTCTCCATTTTATAGAATTGTGGGCTACTTACAAAAAAAAAAGTGATTTTTAAAAATTAAGGGGTATTAGATTAGATAGAAGAAATGTATTACTTTTAGTGTATATATATTCAGTTTAGTGCATTTCACATTTGCTTTCCTCAATCCAAAAATATTAATTCTCAAAAAGTTAGGGGGACAAGTGTATTAAATTTTAATAAAGTCTAATATGCCGTATGTAGAGTTGATCAAAAGTTTAGTGGAGGCAATTGCTCCCGCACCTCATAAGGTAGGGGTGCAATTTGGATAGATCAACCCGAATTTAACCAGAAAAAAATAGGGTTTGGATTAAAATTTTAAAATTTTGGGTTGGATTTGGATTCAAAAACTTCAACTTGAATTAAATTTAGGCAATACCAGAGTTCAACCGTTGAGTTATGAGGTTCAACCTGAACTTGACAAATTAAAATATATATATATATAAGCACCATTAGCCACTAAGGTTTTTGCTCTCTATCTCTCATGCACCTCTCTCTGACTCTCTCGTTCTCGGCCTGTCTCCATTTCTCGGCTTCCCTCTCACTCATTTTTTGTGTCGAATACCATAATGACAGTCAAATCTGGTGGCATTGGCATATCAAATTTGGTGGCTATGGAGACAAAGACCACAGCGATAGTCAGATCAGGTGGCTGTGGCAGTGGCGTGGTGGCTATGTGGGCAGTGGCGTGGTAGCAAGTGACAGTGGCATGGTAATGGTATTTTGGACCGTTTGGTTTAATTTCTTTGTATTGTATTTTAATTGAGTTGTGTAATTTCTTTTGATCTGATTTATAACCCGAATTTAAACTCGAAATTAGTCTGAATTACAAAACCCAAATTGAATTTGAATTAAGAAACTTGAATTCAATCCGAGTCTACCCGAATTTAATTTGGACAACATTAGGTTGAACACCTTGAATTGATATCGGGTTGGAGAATAAATTTAAATTAAAAATTATATAGATAAGATTAGACTAGAGATGACCCTCTTTCCATCCAACCTTNTATCGGGTTGGAGAATAAATTTAAATTAAAAATTATATAGATAAGATTAGACTAGAGATGACCCTCTTTCCATCCAACCTTCTAGAATTACACCCGTATCATAAAGTTGCTTCGTCCTACACCACGAGGCATTATTGAGCCATCGATAATGTGATTGTCAGGTACAACAATAATTTTGAAGAAATAAAAAATAAGTTGGAGGAGTCAAACTCTTTTAAAGAAACGAGTAACTTCAATTATAAGAGTTCGTGTTGAAATTCTCATATGTGTGTCTTTTCGGATTCATTTTGACCTTTGTTATAATACTGAAAAAGTACGATGTCCATTGCACGTAAATAAATTTAAATAATTTTTTTTATAAAAAATTAAATTATATGTATAATTTAATTAAATAATAAATTAGAATTTAAATTATTAATATATTTTAATTATTACTAAATTTAATTATTAATTTATTCAATAAACTTTGAATACTTAATCTATTAGGTATCTCTCTAACTTTTTTAGGCATTTGCACACTAATTATATTATAAAATTATTATTAATTTTTATTTTTTGAAATAGATTGATTAGATCGTTCATAATACTATTATATTATTGCATATCAAAAAAATATAATATAATATATATTTAACCATGTAATTCAATATAATAACTACAGTTNTTTATTTTTTGAAATAGATTGATTAGATACTTCATAATACTATTATATTATTGCATATCAAAAAAATATAATATAATATATATTTAACCATGTATAATAATTTAACATATATTTATGATTTTATTTTTTTACATACATATATAAAATTGTATGTAACTGTACTACTAATAAATGAGTTCAAAAGAATTTAAAAATTCTTGTAAAAGAGTCCAAAATAAATTGTAACTTAAATAGGAGTAAAAAATAAAAATGAGATGAAAATATATATATTGGTGGGTATAATTGACTTTATTATAATAATTAAGATTAAAATAGAAAATCAAAATTTTTTCGCACATGCTGACATTTATAAGTAATATAGATTCTTAGGTATAACATATACATGAAGTCATGATATAACATAAAATTCAAATACTCAAAAAATCAATCATACTATATAAAATAATAATATTTATTTCTTATTATTCATTAATTTTTTAAAAATCAATCCCACTATATTTAATCACATAATTTAAAATTAATTTTTATACTTTATTTAACAAAAAATTCAATAAAAATTTCTCTAAATATATGATCTCAACAATGGACTAGCATATATCCTTGAAAGAATCCAAAGAAGGTAAGAAGTCACTGAAAACATGTATTTACATGTTTAGTCGTTATATGATAGAGTTGACTATCATCTGTATCATTATTGCATTCAATATTTATTCTGTTCGGGTGACTATCATGCAAAGAACTGAACAGTAAATACACCCTCCATGAATTCTTTCAAGGATATGTGAAGTTTCTTGGTTAGCCTACTATTCTTTTTAATTCAAGTATGGGAATCCATGACTGATTNTGCAAAGAACTGAACAGTAAATACACCCTCCATGAATTCTTTCAAGGATATGTGAAATTTCTTGGTTAGCCTACTATTCTTTTTAATTCAAGTATGGGAATCCATGACTGATTTTTTTTAATTCAGGGCAGAAGAGATGTATTGATCACCCAACTACTCTTTTAATTGTTAATTGTACTCTATTATAATAGGTTATACACAGCACAATGCTATCAAAATTGATCTCTTTGGGCCATTCCACACCCCAGAAACCTCCAATATATATATTTTCGTGTATGCAGTGCACTGCAACTTTCAACTTGAAGGTGCATCCTTAATCTTTGAATATCATGACTCAAACCAGCAAGGTGAACGTCCTGGAGGACTACCGGGTTGCACCACCATCAGGTACGGTCGCTGAAAAGTCACTTCCCTTTAACTTTTTTTGACCTACCATGGTTACACTTCCCTCTCGTCCACCGCGTCATCTTTTATGACTTTCCCTATACCAAAAACCATTTCGCTGAGGTTGTTATTCCAAATCTTAAACATTCAGCTTCCCTCACTCTCAAACATTTTTTCCCTCTTGCTGGTAATCTGATAATTCCCTCAAATTCTGCTGCAAAACCCGAGATTTGTTATGCGAATGGCGACTCGATTTCACTGATCTTTGCAGAGTCTAGTAGTGGTTTCGATCATCTCACCGGCAATCATTCAAGAGACACTGATGAATTTTACACTCTTGTACCTCAAATGCCACCGGTTATAACCAATGTGTCTGGTGCATTAGTAGCCCCACTACTAGCTCTTCAAGTGACCCTTTTCCCCAACGTTGGTATTTGTTTTGGGTTCGTCTTTCGCCATGTGATCGGTGATCATGGGCTTCGATTGTCAAATCAGGTGGAGACGCGGCGTTGTTAAAGGATGATCAACTCCTTCCTCTTTACGACAGGACCGTGATCAAAGATCCGAAAGGTTTGGAAGAAATTTTTTGGAGACAGTTGCAGGATTTGAAATTTGAAGTATCTCCATTTCATTTTCTACCAACCAACAAGGTTCGAGCTACTTTTATCATCCGCCAAGTGGATGTCAAACAACTCAAGAAATCGGTCTCAACCAGTCGACCAATGCTGCCATACGTATCAACCTTCACATTAGCATGTGCTTATGTATGGTCTTGCATGATGAAATCACGTTTAGGCAATGGGGAAGAGATTGATGAAGATGATTTGGACTTCTTCATTTGTTCTGTGGATTGTCGACCCCGTGTGAATCCACCATTACGGACAACTTACTTCGGCAATTGCATAGCCCCAGTTTTTGTGAAGGCAAAGACTACCCAACTCTTGGGTGAAGAGGGTTTTTTCATGGCAGCAGAGTTGATCGGAGAAGCCATTCACAACAAACAGCACAACGAGGAAGGAGGAGGAGGAGTGTTGAATGGTATAGAGAATTGGTTCTCAGAGGTCGAAGTTTTGAAATTGGGCCGAATTGTTAGCGTTGCTGGGTCACCCAAAATGGGCTTTTATAGTATAGATTTCGGGTGGGGAGGGCCCAAGAAGATTGAAATTCTTTCGATAGATGTTACTGAGGGAGATCTGGAGGTTGGGGTGTCTTTACGCAAGATTAAAATGGATGCTTTTGCTAGCATCTTCGCTGATGGCATTAAGAACCTATAGGAAAGCAGAAGAAAATTCCCCACTGATTTGTATCAAAGCATGAAAACAGTTTGTATGAAAGACCAAATTGGGAAGGGTGTTTTGGGGTGTGGGTGTGTGTGTGTGTGAGAGAAAGAGAGAGAGATCTCATAGGAGACCTAAGGTTTTAAATAATTTTTATTGCTATGCATGATTATATATCTAATCTATCTCCAAACAAAAAGGAGATGAGAGTTGCTAAATGATATATAAGGATTAAATCTATGTTTTTGACTTGATAATGAATGTCTTGTTTGAAGGCTGGCCGTAACGCAACGGTAACACTGTTTTATTACAATTTAAATGTTTAAAATTTGAGTAAAAAAAAAAAAATTCTCTACAGCGGCATGACTTCATGTTTAACTAGAGTTGAGTCATCAATTTATCTAACGACTTGCCATTTATCATCTTTAACATACTAAGACTAAATTCAAATCTAATAATTATGTCGGTTCATGGGTTGTGTCTAACCCTATGTGAAGTGTTAAGAAAGTTGTGATCCCATGCATCAACTATCTATATAATAAAGTATTCTCTCCGTTACTAAATATCTGTCGTTTTACATAATTTTTTTTTTGTTTTATAATATCTGTCGTTTTATGAATCNAAGAAAGTTGTGATCCCATGCATCAACTATCTATATAATAAAGTATTCTCTCCGTTGCTAAATATCTGTCGTTTTACATAATTTTTTTTTTGTTTTATAATATCTGTCGTTTTATGAATCCTAAGTATAATTAATATTTTTTCTTCCAAATTTACCCTTAACTTTTCAATGCATTAAATTAGGTGAAGGCTAAGTGTCTTTCATATTCTTTTCCTTCCCAATACATATTGAATAAGGGTATTTTAGTCTTGTGTAATTATTTTTTACTCATATTACAGCTATTTAATAGCTTCTTTAATCCATGTGTAAAAATCTTAAAGGACAGATATTTAAGAACGGAGGGAGTATAAGGCAATTCAAATCTCAAAAGATAAACAAAATTACTTTTGTTTTTCGCAGTTAAGATCTCTTTAAATATTATTTTAAAATTAATTCGACGGCTAATATTAACACCTAAAATATAATAGAAAAAATAGGCATTTAAAAGTGTGTTTAAATTAACTTTTTAAAAATGTTTCTAATACTTATAATTTCTTATAACCACCCCCCCAC